AATAGGCAGAGGACCTGAACAGACACTTCTCCAAACAGGACATACCAATGGCCAAAAGACATATGAAAAAATGCTCAACATCACTAATCATCAAAGAGATGCAAATTAAAACAACAATGAGGTATCACCTCACACCTGTCAGAATGGCCGCCATCAACAAATCATCCATCAAACAACAAGTGCTGGCAAGAGTGTGGAGAAAAGGGGACTCTAGTACACTGCTGGTGGGAATGCAGACTGGTGCAGCCACTATGCAAAACAATATGGTGTTTCCTCAAAAAATTGAAAATGGAACTGCCATTTGACCCAGTGAACCCACTTCTAGGACTATACCCTAAGAAGCCTGAAACACCAATCAGAAAGAATATATGTACCCCCATGTTCATAGCAGCACTATTTACAATAGCTAAGATCTGGAAATAGCCCAAGTGTCTAGAGAGAAAGGGAGAGAGAGGGAAAAAATCCACTTGTTTTTCCACTTATTTATGCATTCCTTGGTTGATTTTTTTATGTACCCTGACCTGGGATCGAACCCACATATCGTCGGGACAATGCTTTAACCAACTGAGCTGCCCAGCCAGAGGAGTGTTTTTAGAGGAGTACAAAAAAATTCTGTACTTCAACACCTGAAAGCAAGAGCTCTCATTTATAATATTTTAACAATTTTTAAAATATAAATCCTTCTAAAATATGACATGCTCTTACTACTTTAATAGGTTTTATAAATACAGACTTCCTTGTAATTGGAGACCCTGGGCTTCCTTAGGTTCATCAATAATGACTCAGTTGGTTGGAGCATCATCTGGTACACCAAATAGGTTGTGGGTTCAATTTCCAATCAGGGCACATACCTGGGTTTTGGGTTCAGTCCCTGTTTATGTGCATACAGGAGGCAATTGATCAATGTTTTTCTCTCTCTCCCCCCATCAGTAGATGAATGGATTAAAAAGCTATGGTACATTTATACAATGGAATACTATGCAGCCGTAAGAAAGACCTCTTACCCTTTGAGATGACATGAAAGGACCTGGACAGTATTATGCTGAGCTAAATAAGCCAGTCAGAGAAAGTCAAGTACCACATGATCTCACTTATTTATGGAATATCATGAACAAAATAAATTGTCAATCAGAACAGATCCAGAGTCATGGACATAGAAAACAGGCTGAAAAAAACCTCAAAGGGAAGGGGGTTGGGGGGTTAAGAAAGAAAAAACCAAAGAACTTATATGCATATATGCATAACCAATGGACACAGACAGTAGTTTGGGGAAAGCAGGAGGGTGTGGGAGCAGGGAGGAGGGGGTCAATTGGGGAAAATAGGGGGGACATCTCTAATACTTCCAACAATAAAGATTAAAAAAACAGACTTCACAACCTAGGTTCTTAAGCAATATAATTTTGATACATTACAAGAAATATTATAATTTAAAAACTGTATTACTTTCTTTTTTTTTTTAATCCTCACCTGAGGATATTTTTCCATTTATTTTCAGATAGAGTGAAAAGGAGAGCAAGAGAGAGAGACATCGATGTGAGAGAGACACATCGATTGGTTGCTTCGTGCATGACCTCAACCAGGGCCAGGGACCGAATTGCAACCCAAATACGTCTTTGACTGGAATCAAAACCCACAACTCATTGATCCACAGGCCGACGCTCCAAGAGCTGAGCCAAACCAGCCAGGTCAAAAACTGTATTACTTTCTAAGGAAATATGTAAGATAAAATAACAATTCTACTAGAGAATGGGAACTGGAGTCAGGGGAGACTTTGCATCAATAAGCTGAGCCTTAAAAAATGAATAAGAGCACTGGCTAGTGTGGCTCAGTTAGTTGGGTGTCATCCCATGTACGGAAAGGTTGCTAGTTCAGCTCCTGGTCAGGGCACATGCTCAGGTTGCAGGTTCGATCCCCAGTCAGGGTGTGCAGGAGGACACTGATCAATGTTTCTCTTTCACATCCTTGTTTCTCTCTCTCTCTCTCTCCTTTCTCTAAAAATTTAATTAATAAAAAACATATTTAAAAAAAATAGGAGTTTGCCAGGCAAAGTTTCAAACAGAGGAGAAAACTATAAATCACAGGATATAGTGCAGTGTAGAGGACGGAAAATAGGGCTGGTAGGTTATTTGGGGTCAGTTCATGAAGACTTCAGAATACTACCCAGAGGAAAGTTTGGACTGTGGTAAATTTATAGAAAATGATGGTAGCATTGTAAGGTCTGTATTCAGAAAAAAATAATAATGGCAGTGTGTATATAAAAAGGGTAAAATATCAAAAGCAATGAGACTAGTTTTTAAAGGTTACTACAGTAGGCCAGGGAGAGACAAAAGACTCACAGAACAGCAGTGGGTAGGGAGGGGCAAGAAAATTACAGATAACAGGCTAAATGTCTGATGAACTGAATGCTGGAGGTAAAGAAGAAGTGGAGTTGAGGATGGCATTATTCAAGATAAGGGAAAGAAGAGAATCAGCATGTTTGGCAAGAAGATATAAGGAATTACATTTTAGATAAGCTAAAGTTTGTATTTTGAATTTATTAACTCCATTCACTGAAAGAATAGTTCTCATTTCTTTCCATTCCAGAATAACATTTATTCATTCAACAATTTGTTTTTGGAATGCTTACCACATATCAAGCATCATTATAAATGCTGGAAATCAGAGAACAAAGTTCCTGTGCATGATGCTTACAATTTAGCTTCCTTTTATAATATTAAAAAAAGCAAGGAAAATATCAAAGTTAAAAATATGAATATACAATACATAATCCATGTGATTTCTTCAAAGTGAAGCCTCCAGGTATGTTAAAACATGTTCAAAATCAAATTGGAATAGAAAAATAGTAGAAGTGTTCTCTTTTTTTCAGTAATAAATACTTGATAATTTATGCGTTTGATAGGTTTACACCATCCCAGAGATTTTCAACCTTTTTCACCTCATGGCATACATAAAGTAATTACTAAAATTCTGTGACACACCAAAAATATATATTATACTTTTTGATGATCTGACCAAAAAAAAAAGAATAGGTATAATTTTGATTCGTTCACACCAGACGGCTATTGTCATATTGGCTGTTGTCATTTTTGACAACCTAAGCTAAGAGAGGTCAGCAGTGCCTCTAAGTAGTCAGGTATCGCATGTTTAAAATGTCTTGTGGCACCTGGGTTGAAAATTGCTGCATTATCCTAATAACATGACGAGTTATTCTACTCAGGAAAGTACTGGAAACTACATCTTTCTCTTTTTAATCTCTAACAGACTAAAAAACATTAATTCTTACTTTCTAAAGAGCTTACTTTCGAAAAAGGTATTTAATATCTACTACTACAGATACATATTTCAAAAACTTTAAAGTGAATTGCATCTTTTTTTAAAAATGGTATGACAATCTGTCTCCTTGAAAGACATTTTATTTTCTACTATTTTCAAATAGATTATTGAATATGCCCCGCACCTACATCATTTATTCCTTCTTAACACTTACCCTTTGTCTATTTCCCATTGCTTTCAGTACTTCCAAGTTCCCCAAAATTATTATTATCAACTCTCTTATCTTCTACTTCATCATTGTTCATTGCTTGGACCAATGGTTCCCAACAGAAGTAGAACAGGCTTTTAGGGACATTTCGAAAATTTATAGACCTTTTGGTTGTCACAATATTTTGGGTAGCAGGGAAGACATTTGGTGGATTATTGATCCTAGAAGTCCTAATAAGTATGAGACAACCCTGTACAACAAAGAACGGTGGGCAGCCCTTAAAATTTTAAGGCTCTACTGTACATTAAGTAGGCAAGATGTATCAGTGTGGGCTGGAGTAGCAGGGAATGTGATGTAGAAAAGGGATACAGCAACCGTGCTTCCAGACTTGCCCTATCTAATTTTCTTCTTACACACAGGGTGAGAGAACCTTACAATGGCCCTACCTGTCACTTGTTTGCTTAAAATTCATCAAAATGGCACCACTGCCCTCAGAATATCTCCACTCTGTCATGTGGTTTACCAGATGCTTCATATGTTCTAGCCCTCAATTATCTTTTTCTTTTTTTTATCCTCACCCAAGGACATTTTTCCATTTTTTGCTCAGATAGAGTGGAAGGGAGAGAGAGAAAGAGACACATCGAGTGGCTGCCACCTGCACAGCCAACCGGGGGACAAACTGCAACCGAGGTGCGTGCCCTCAGCAGGAACCAAACCCGGGTCTCTGGGGACCCCAGGCCGACGCTCTAACCGCTGAGGCAAACCGGCCAGGACGCCCCCAATTATCTTTAGGCGCTGCACTGACCAATAAGGCAATAACCATCAGCCACATGTGCCTGCCGAGCACCTGCGGTGTGGCTAGTCCACGCTGGGGTTCGAAGACATCTCAGTAACAATTTTTATGTTGATTACACGTTACTATGTTATTGTGGATATATGGCATTAAATAAAATGCACTGTTAAAATTTAATTCACCGATTTCTTTTTACTTTCTTACTATGGCTACAGAAAACTTGGAGATGCCTGTGACCCGCCCTGTTTCTACAGGACGACTCCTTTCCCCAGATGACACTTCAGCGGGAACAACACGTGCGGTTTCCGAGGGGCCCTTCCTCTGCCCTGCCAGTCTGTAGACACGACTGCTTCGCCCGCAGCCCTTTCTCTCTGCTCCTCACTGGTATTCATCGCTTGCTCAGGAAGCCCTCCCTGACTCACTGCCCGCGCCGACCGGCCGGGCCTCGGTGGGTAGAGACCCCGTCCCGTCGCGCTTACAACCTGTCTCCACGGCCTGTTCTGGGCGGTGCCCTCGAGGGGGCAGAAGTGCCCTGAGCTCGCCTGGCTGCAGCGCCGGGCACAGCGCAGCGCCGGCTGAACGAATGAACGGCCGGCGCCGACGGCGAACGGCGCCGGAGCCAGGCTCGAGGGGAAGGAGGGCACAGCGGCCAGGAGGGCGGCCGGGGCTGCTGGCGGGCGCCGGGCAGCGGAGAGCCGCGGAGGGGCGGGAGCGCGGAGCACTCACCAGTCTGCGGTCGCCCTCCGCGTCCGGCCGCTTGTTGGAGGGCGGCGAGTACTCGGCGTAGCGCAGGCCGTCGCCGGCAGGGGCGACGCCGCTGAAGGCTGCCATGGCGGTGGGGCCGAAGGCGACGCCGCGCGCGGGAGGCGCCTACGAGCCGGCCGCAGGGACAAACTAGGTGGGGCGCGCGGCTTCGCGGGCTCAGCCCAGGCCGCACCTGCTGCGCGGGTGGAGAGCGAGTCACCAGGACATCTCCTTCTCACCCAGGCTCGGGCCAACTTGTCCCAAATGTCAAACTGGAGCTGAATCCCTTGGGACGGGGAGGGTGTTTTGTTTGTTGCAGATTCGCCTGCAGGGGCAGTGCCAGGCGTGGCCTGGCTGCTCCCCAAGTAGCACCATGGGCCTGGGTTTAAGCCCGAGGTTGGTCTGAGGTTGGTCTCATCAAACTGCAGTGCCTGAAGGTTCCTGACCCACACCAGACCTTTCTTCCTATCCCGACTACTGGTCATACTTCTCTTTAATGCCACAATTCTCCCATCCATGAAGGCAATATTAGACGCAGTTTGCTTACTCCGCACGGATGACTATTTTTTTAAGATGAAACTGCGAAGACTAAATCTTACTCCCCACAAATGGTCTTGTGCTGACTTGTATATAGAAAGACCTACTTTATTATTCTTTTCTTTTTTTATCCTCACCTAAGGACATTTGTGTGTGTGTGTGTGTGTGTGTGTGTGTGTGTGTCTTCAGATAGAGTGGGAGGAAGAGAGAGAGACAAACATCCATGTGAGAGAGACACATTGAGTGGTTGCCACCTCAACCGAGGTACATTCGTGCCCTTAGCGGGAACTGAACCAGGACTCTCCAGTCGGCTGACCCGAGGCTCCAGCTGTTACAGAACAGACCAAACACCAAGGAAGCGAAGAGGTTCTTTTATTCACGCATGCGGACCCAGAGGAGGCAGTCTCCAAACTCTAGGCCCCGAGTTGTGGGGTGTGCCTAGGTTTATAGCGGGCTGGGTAGACATTCTTTAGATGCCAGAGCAGTAAGCAGCCTACAGAGGCAGGAAGCAAAAAGGTCTGGTTATCTCTAGGTGGCATAGGTGTCTAGTTATCTACTGAGAAACAAAGGGGTCTAGTTATCTCCTGGGTACTTGCTCTTTCTAAAATGATGGTTTACTTCTATTACAACCACTGAGCCAAACCGGTCAGGGCTATTATTCATTTTTAAGTCAAGCCTGTTTGAGCAAAAATTAACCAACAAATGAAATCTGTGTAGTGTTTTCTCCCTCCTGTACTAACTGGCAGAATGTTTGCCTTTTATACCCATTGCACAGGCAGCTTAGAGGAAGAGAAATCTTTCTTTTTTTCTCCTAAATTTAAAGTTCCAGGGTCTATTGACTTACTAATTTAGTTACTATTATTAGCAAGCCCAAGAAGTTAGGGCCTGTAAGAATTTAGTCTCATAGGAAAATAACACTGACAGAGTGATAGCAATACATGCCGGAACATGAGCATATGCACTGTATAGAGTATAAAAAGAACTGGACTAGGAGAATGGAAGAAATCTGAGTCTAGTGTCTATTCTACTTTTCATAGACTTATGTCCCTGAGCATGCTCATTAACCTCTCCAAATTTCTCCTTCCCTGTGAAAAGAGGGTAACATTTGTTCAACATTTTGACTCAGGGAAGTGGTAAGGAGAAAATGAAAAAAAGAAGATATGAAAGTAATCTGTGCGATTGTGCAATGCACTTATGAAGAGTGACGCTACTGAAGTGCTATTGTCGTACACGGGAGGGAATGGCTTCTCTTAACCAGGGTATCTGAAAAGGTTTGTTGGAGGCTTATCCACTGAGATAGTCAGTAAAGAAGGGGTAAGACTTTTTTAGATGGAAGAGGAAGAGAGCTGGAAATTTCAGCTGGAAACAAATGCAAAGAAATTAAAAAGGTTGTATGTAGGACTGGGTAAAAAATACACATCAAGACTCTTCAGAAGGAAGGGGTTGGGTTGTGCAAATTGCCAGTTATAAAACAGGGGATGTAGAGTACAGCATAGGGAATGTGGTCAGTAATACTGTTATAACTATATATGGTGTCAGACAGGTACTAGACTTATTGAAGTGATCACTTCATAAATTATGTAAATGTATAATCACTGTTGTACACAAGAAACTAATAAAATATTGCATGTCAACTGTAATCGAAAAATGTTTAAAAAGATATATGGTCATATTGCAGAAATTAATTTTCATTATACTGTTGACAGCTATCAAGGACCCTGGTGAACTAAGCAAATGAATTCATTTGGGGTCCATGCATTCATTTATTTATTCAGTAAATTTTTATTGGGTATCTATTAGGTATCAGGCACTGTTCTAAGTATAGGATTTACAGTGTCAAGTAAACAAACAAGATCTCTGGTTCTTTGGAGTTCACAGTCCGTGAGTTGGTTACAGTGTACCCTAGCAGCTGGGTCCTCATAGTCACAAACAGGCTGCCAGCCTGGAGCAACTAGAACAAGACCGAGGTCAGCTGCAGCTCCACTTAGGACAGCTGATGCCCCTGCTCAAGAACTGAAAAAGAGAACTGAGCCAGAGAGAAGATAGCAAGTTGGAAGGGAGATGGGCTTAGCAGGGTTGTTCCTCAGCTCAGACCCCAACTTACTGAGAGCAGTTTGCTGGCTGCTTACAGACTTGACCCCTGTTCCACTGCTGCTTTGGGCATCTACTCCTATAGCAGTAGTTGGTTTTAAAGAAAATTCTTCCACAGAGATTATTCAGTTCTCAGCCTTTGCATCTTTGCTAAGGTCACCCTCACCTGGGAAGAAAAGATAGAAACAAGAGCAATTAAGTTCACTGTCTCCCCACAGGGTCTCTTCCCGGCTTAGCTAAACTCACCTCCCTGGCTTCCTGAGAAAGAAAAATAATAGTTTTTGAGAAACCCAAAAGGGAGACCACATTACATCGTCACTGGCCTATTTTATTAGTTATGCCACTTCAAAGACTGACAATACATTATGTTCAATAGAATTTGTAAAAGAAAAGCAGACATTGGTAAAGATATCTTGAAACATCTCAGTGAAAAAGAAAAATGCTTTCAACATTTGTTGTGTAAGAAGACTTTTGGCAAAAAGTAAAATCGACCTCTGTATGCCTCAGTTTTCTCATCAGCAAAGTTGGAGATAATAGCACTTCCCTTTCTAGAATTAAATGAGTTGACTTTTGTACAACTGTTAGAACAGTGTTGGATACCCAGTAAATTCTATAAAAGTGTTAGTTACTATTTTCTTTTTATTACCTCTTTCACCTATTTGTTTCCATGCATATGTTCTTCTTGCTGCCCCCCCCCCACACACACACACACACAGTTATGTGATTGGTTGTCTTGTCTCTGAAATGATAAAATTCAATTACACAGTACATAGTGATAAAGTATAAGTGTGGGGGAGAAAAAGTTGTTTTGACCAAAATAAAACTAAATGCTTTGGAATGACGTGATAAAGGAGAGGGGTCTGGAAAGACCAAGGAAGGAGTCAGAGAAGCTGACCATCAAGGATTAATACAAACGTGCTGCATTGGTAAAAATGAGGTAGGCTTGGGGAAACAAGATATAAGAAAATTACTGGTATAAACAGCACTACCAGTAATGCAGTTTTGCTAAAGTTTAAAGTATAAAGAGGACAATGAAGATGCATAAGGGTAGAGTGATAACCAGACAAAGGCCAGATATTGAACAGTTTTATTTAATTAGCAAAGGTATTTCAAATTTGCCTTATAAATGAAGGCAAGCCATCAAAAAATATGAAATGTGGTAGTAACACGATCAGATCTACATGGTAGGAAGGTCACTGTGGTAGTGAAATGGGAGTGACGGGCCAAAACTAACGGAGAATCAGGAAGAAAGTTATTGCAATTCCGTTTTACCAGACTGAAGAGGTCCATTTACCTTCATGTATCAAAGCCCAATCAGAGATGAACCTGAGTTTGGAGCCAAAAAAATATGGATGAATTGAGAAGACTGCACCAGGCCTGAAGTCACAGGTGAGCTAAGCTCAAAGACCTGGGTCCCCAAAGGCTTCTAAGGGATGAATGACATAGTGAAAAAATCATTAATCATGCTGACTAAAGGAATTAGGATTGTAGTCTCTACTGATTAGTTAGTGCTAGGGTGGGGAGTAATGGATCATTGCATCTGGTCCTTAGGTCAGCTGTGGCATCTTCCTGTCTGATTTCTCAAGAGTTTGTTTGGTGGGATCATACTGCTTTCCTGGGTCTGGAGCTAAAGCACAACTGAGGCCAAGAAGTTATCTTTAGTTTGATTGAAAACCCTGTCTCTGTAGTCAATAGACCCAAGACCTTGTTCCGTGGTGACCAGAATCTCATTGTCCTGAGGGCTTAATGATTAAGCAAGGAAGAGGGAGGTGGGTGAGTCAGGGTGCTGGGTGAGGCCAGTTTGAAACAAAGGAAGAAAATAAAAATAAAGGGTCAGATTAAAGAAAATAAGGTTTCTGCATGTGACACCTGAGTAAGAGATGTTGAGGTTCAAAGTAGGGCAATGGCAAGGTCATGGCAAGGAGAGGTATAGTAACCTTTACTGGTTTCCTTCCCACATTCAACTTCTCTTGTTGGGTCTCACACAACAAGGAACCAAGGATTGACTTTGTCCCCTACTGTCAGGGTGAGCACTGATTGACATAAGCCAACCAATGCATCCCATCATTCTAGCCATGGTGTCTGTCTTCTGGAAAATTGGGTTTATAGGAAATGTTTGCTGGGTGCTCATGGGAAAGCAGCTTCACCTCTCTTCAGATGCATGTGAACAGAGAAGTGTGAAGCCCTAACTGTGGTTGGCAATCATTTGACAATCATGGGTGAAGGTGACTGTTTACTTTATCATCCAAAACTAGGTCACATTTAAACGAAAAGTAGTGCTACAAATAATTATGTTGGGGCAATAGATGTAACTGGGACTGCCCTGGCAAACCTGGATGTATGGCGCCCCTCCTGTTAGAAGAAATGACCTTATAGGAAGTAAATGCCACTGAAAGCCACAAGGAGATTATGAAGTAAAAATTCTTCTTATTTTAATTTCTCTTTCATTTTGCATTTAAAACTTTAAGC